ATAGTACCTGAACTGCTTTAAGTGTTTTTCAGCAATCGGTAAATGTCACAAAACCTGTGCTCTATTTCTCCCTCCTCTTCTCAGTCCTTGAACATTGAAGCGTGTCTTCTCTTACTTTGTCATTTTCTTTGGCAAAAATTGGCAGAATATTGACAGGATTTCATCCAGCAAATAATTATCATCTATCTCCAAGGACAGTATGAAATGTCCCTTTTAGTGTTCTCTGACAAATCCAGTGCTGTTTCTATACGCAGTGCCAAAACATGAATCATTCCGCTCCTATAAGCTGAACTGGAACACTGCTGGCAAAACGCTGCGGTGCTTCTGCATACACATTATCAGTACACACTGTTAGATATGCCGTTCAAAGTGGTGAATCTCTTTAATATATGCACACAATATCAAAGGCTCGAGATGCTTGGAATGATTGAATTCACATGGAAAATTACTAAACGTAACAATCAAATGTTGAAATTATGGAATTGTTGTATTTAGGAACACTAATCGTTGTCCTACACTTTCCCCCCGGGTCTTAAACTACCCTTAAGGACCAATATTTGAGATAGTACAGTTCTTGACTTTGGTTTCAAGACCTACATCAATCCAATTTGGCTTTCCCTTGACATTTCTGTGGGCCTCTTTGTCTTTGTGGACTATTCAACGTCATGACAAATTTCTGCGCGTGGGTGTGTGTTTGCAAGGCTGCTACCAAATGTTAGCTTTCCTGACAGGGGAACCCGAAAGAGCGAAGCAAATGACGACATTCTCTGGTGTTACTCCGAACGTCTTCAACACGTGGCTGAGGGGCAGAAATGAAGCCAAAGAAAAAAACGCCAAGTGGTTTAAACTGTGGTCCTTTATTGGCTGTCCACAAAAGCATGTCATGGAACGACAGAAACTGTAGCATGAGTGTAACATTCCTATTAGTTGTTATACTCCACCACATTCCTGCTTCTCAAACCATGTATAATTTATATCATATATATATATATGTATATGTGTATATCTATATATATATATATTCTTGTTTTCTTTACAATATACATTTTTTTCTTCCAAGAAAAAAAAACATAAAAAAGCTAAAATCACCCCCCCCGTGGATTTGAACTATCCCATGCATCCACTTTCTAGAAGAATATGTCGGTCAGTACCAGGAACAAATATGCAGGCAAATGAATGCTCAGACAAATAAAGGGAAAGCCTCATTAGACAAAGCTGGTGCACAGAGCAGATTTTCAACAACATTAGACAAGAAGAGCCATGCGAACGGACATTTGCTGTACCACTTTAGTCCAGCTTTGAATGGATTGCGCCAGAGCTGGGACGAGCTAAACTCACTCTTTTGCTACCGGCATAACATCAGGACCAATGAAAACAGATGAGCATCAAATCTTTGAGTTTTGTTTTGATTTTTTATTGTACTTAGTTGATGCTGGATCACAGTAAGATCTTAACGTAAGCTCACTGGTAAAATACTTGTGTATACTTGTGTGTATGTGTGTGTGTGTGAGGCTACAGTAACACTGACACAAAAAGTGCTTGACATCATCATAAACCGCTTTACCTTTGTGGAAACAAAATATTTTGCATCTATATGTAACGTTCATTTGATTTCCATTCAAATATGAGAATGTACGTTCTCTCCACTATGAGATTCACATACAGTAGAACTTAAAACATTCAGGGTAAATTCAACCGAAATATACCATCCAATGTCACAAAAACCCGAAAGAAAAGGTGTATCATAGTTTATATTCAGTCACTCGTTTGTCTAAATTTGTCTCTCAGTTCACATTTATACTGTAGCTCTTGTGACACAATAAACTTTGTACTACTCAAAGTAATACAATACCATGGAAATATTGCTTTGTTTCAAAAGTCTCAAGAATCTTTTTATGTTATCTTTTTCACTTTTCTAAAACAAAATAACTGTGGAATGTAAAATAAAATATATATAGAGCTATGCATGTAGATAGGAAAATAAAGCTGTAGGATAAGAACTATTAATCACTTTCTGTAGCTATATACAGAACGTAACTCGCATTTTCACTAAATTTGGTCTAAAACTGAGTAAGTGGCCACAAAATAATTAATATTTCTGCAATTTTGGAGTGTGCTACAATATTTAAAAATCAAAACATGAGTTTTCTATATGAATATATAGACTCTTGATAATATGGAGAAGTATAACTCTAAAATATGACGACGCTAATTGAACTTTTGGATTGTGTTTTTTTTCTGTTTTTTCTTTTTTGGCTTGTTGCTGGGTTGTTGACATTGCACAATTTGAAAATACTCAAATCTTACTGCATTGTTACATTCATTAAATATACTCTGACTTCCTCCCGGGGAGAAAGGGCTCATCTCAAGTCTGCTTGAACCAAAATCACCTCGCACTGTTTGTGCCTGTCAAACGCTTCCTTGGTAGGATGGGGATTTCCAAAAAGGGCATTTTTCCTCGGCAAGCGGAGAACCATTCCTCCCATCTGCGTAAGGGACGTTCCATTTGTCAGTTAGGACCGAATACAATTGCTTTTGAAACCGTGACACCCTTTGATGGAACCTATCTAGACACAATCAATCCCACAGTGAAAACAAACACAGTGAATAGAAACCAAAAATGTGAATGCAACCAAGCTTATTCTTTTAATCTGCATCATCTTGTGGGTAGATTGAGACCACCATGAACGCACTTTTAGATCTGAACAACCCTCTGACGAGATTTCTAGAGGCGGCATCCAGGAAACATAGTAATTGTCTCTCAGACACACACAGTTCTGCTGGGTATTAAGTATGTGATTAACATGGCAGCATTTTAGACCGAATAGCTTGCTATTTGACGCGCGCCTAGGGACACACGTGCAGTAAACTGTAATTGGTGACAAAATAATGGACACTGGGACACTTTTTCCAGGCAACGAATTCACAAAGTAGAGCAACAGCCATCTCTAAAGAAGCAAAGGATGCAAGAACTACTCAAAACAGCATATCTAAAGCTTCTTATTCTGAACACCTGAGACATTTAGCACATAAATGGCTGAATGAAACATTGGCTTTTGACACACCGTGTCAAAAAAATGTATGTTTTAAACTGACCAGTTGTCTGTATCGTGTGTCTGCTCGGATTGGATATAATATCAAAAATCATAATTGTAATACTAAAAATCTTCTCATCTGTTTGAGATTTTCACTTTTCATTGCTTCAGCATGGGATGGTGTTCTTTTTTACGCCACCATTACGCCTTACCTTGCGAACATTTGACAGAGTTGTTGGTTTCCTTCACTACTGGATTTCTTTGATTGAATCTGAGTTTGACTGAAACCCAATGAGTTACGGCTGTTTTGAATTGGGCTTTTTCGAGTTTCTTGAGAGGACGTTTGCTTTGATTCGCCGCTGTATAAAGAAAAGCAAACTGACCTCCAAACTTTCATGTGGTAGACAGGTGTAAGGGGGGTTGCTAGTTAGCTTCTTTCTCAGACTTAAGCTGCCATTACCTAATAAAAAAAAGTATTGGACTCTACAGGAAATGTGTTGACGTGGCTGGAATTGCTTCAGATTTTTATTCACAGGACAAAAATACCATGTGGTGCTTTACTATAGCTTGGTTTGTAAAATAGATGTTTTACCTGTGACACCACCCCAGTTTCATTTTTACTACATGATCTGGTGAAAACACAATTCATTCTACAGTTATTTTGAACATTTTCCCACTTCCCTAAAACATTTTTATTTAGCTCTCATGGATTCTGTGCTAATGGACAGGTTTGTCACCGCTCAGCGTCCGTTAGCATGCGTGCGTCCCAAATGCGGATGAGCTGAGCAAAATGGAGAAAAAAGTCACAGCGCACACGCAAAAAATCAAGATAAGGGCCCAGCAGGAATATTAGATAAAGCAAGACTGTTTTGTCGACAGAGGCCTGACGGCATTTGCAAAGCATTTTGAAGAAAGTGCCAGTAGCCTCTCCCAGTAGCGTAGAGGGATTATTTTTTTTTTAACGCGCATGCATCTTGATGCTTTTGCTGCTTCTCGTTTTTGCAAACAAATTTGTTTATTCGAAAGCAGATTTTAAAATGTCTAAAGTGCTGATTTTTGGCAGGGACAGCAGCTGCTCCTTGATTTTTTACAGTTCCGTGAAAAATATCTTCAAATTTAACGGCTTACTGAATCCTCACCTGAAGTTTTCCTCACACCTCGGTGCGTCCCTTCACCTGTGATGTGCCATGTGTGCTGCCCTAAGCCTACTTTTCTGACTAAAACTGGAGTAAATCACATATGCAATTAAGATAATAAGCATATATTTTTTTATACTTCTTGTAAAAAAGACTAATGAATGAGTCTGTACTCTGGTGACATCTCCAGACAGAGATAGGAGTTGAACATTTGGCGATCGCGTCTCTAAAAATATCAGCGCTAACACTGTGCAAAGAGAGAGAATATGCTTCTATCAGCAAGAGAAAATATGCTTTTAAAAGAAAACCTTATGGTCGGCCGTTTGACAGGAAACAAACCGCGCCCCAAGCCGCCCTAAAGAGCTACACAAAAAGCCCGGCAAAAGCAAAAGACAAGGGGGGGGGGGGGGGGGCATACGAATGGATTAAACATGCAACTTTGCATAAACAGGACACAGAGCAGGGAGCACATTCACTGAGACGGGTGTCATCAGCCAAGCAAGTGCAGGAGAGTATTGTACATCAGGTATCCCAAAAAAAAGAAAGAAAAAAAAAGAAAAACAGAACAGAAGAAAACAGCACGACAACTTTCCCAACATATTTACACTCTGCTTGAAGCTTTTTTTAAGGTAAAGTCCCAGTCAAATGAATCCCGTGTCCAGGTCCCGCTCCGTTGTTGCGGTGGATAGAAAGTTAATAAGCAGCGTTTTTTTTCCCTTACTTCCTCTCATAAAGGTGGTCCGTGAAGCAAGCTCTGCATAAAAAGCAATATCGGGGGCGGCTCAGTCGAGGAGTCGTCATGCAAAAAGCAAAAAAACAAAACAAAAAAAAGACCCCCCAAAAAAAACAACAACTGCCGTTTAATTTCCCAGTTGGACATCTGTGTTTCAAGCATAAGTCAGCATAGATTTCACTGAGTGGGCCGCGTAAGAATGAACCAGCCCTGCAGCTCCGGCCACCGTGGAAGTCGCTGTGATCAGTTTGGCCTCGGCACACAGTAGATAATAACACAGTGAAACGCGTCCAACATCAACGTGATGGGATGAAGTGTACGTTTGTCCACCTAACAAGTCCGCCCGGTGGCGTTGCTACGACTCACTTTTATTGGTTGTATAGCAGGGTTATATGTCGGCCTAGAAGTTTGGCGTGTGTCAAACTTTCCGCTGCGATGGCACCCACTTCCTGAAAAAATGTGTTCTGTAAACTAAAGTCTCCTTTCAGAGATGATGACAAAAAGCTGCATTGGTTGAATTTCAATTCAATGAACTGAGTGAACAAAAGTGAGCATCTCATGCAATTGTTCTCTATGAAATACAGTAGAAAGTTTTACCCTCGCTGTCGGGTATAAGGGATGTTTGATCCGGACTGCTTTTTTTTGTTGTTTTAATTCCATTTTTTTCCACCTCCTAACCGTGTTGGATGTGAAGTGAAGAGTGGAGGCCAGCGGGACGGAGGCTAAAGACGGAAAAAATGCCGACAGGTAATGCTTGAGGAGCTGCGACAGGTAGAAGTAAAGGGAATTTCTGGCGTAAAAACCATCCAGCAGCTCTGCTTCAGCAGTGCGGGGTGGGAGGGGGGTGGTGGGGGGGGGGCAGGTAGATTGGGGTCGGTAGCCGGACGACGTATGCTAAAAGTGAGGTTACATAGGTGCTGTGGCGGGATCGCGGGGCTCTGGGTGGGGGGGGGGGGGGGGACGGCGTCACACCACAGAGCCCTTGGAGGTGGACAGGTGGATGGAGTGGATGCGGGTGGCCAGAGTTTTCTCCAGGTCGTGGAGGATGTCGGAGCAGATCCCGGGGCTGGACGCGGGGCTCTCGGCGGGAGGGGGTTCGTACAGGAGCTGCTTGAAGCCCTCGAGTTCGATCAGCAGCACCATGCTCTTCAGGAAGTAGCCCTCGATAAAAGCCGTAAGCTCCGACGCACCAAGGAACTAAATGGAAAAAAACAAAAACAAATCAACATCGACGTATGACTTGATAACATGATAGGGTGCAAAAAAAAGGTTTGCATGTTTTCTTAACTTTTCGTTGTTTTTTTTTGCTGTGCGATATGCATCAAGTCAGATGGAAAAACTCAAATAATGTCCGACCTTGTTAAAGCACTGTGATTCAGTCAGTGGTTTGCATTTGGTTGGGACGACTACTTCTTCAAGTGAATTACGGGCAGCGAGCCCTGCCACTAGGGTGGTGATGTCTGATTATTACACTTTAAAGCGATGAATAAAAATGCCTTTTGTCCAAATGCCTTTTTTTTAACAGCTCTGCCACAATATAACCTAGGATTTGCTTTGCTTGTGCATGTAAACTTAATAACCCCCTCCCCCCCGGTATGAAGTTGTGTGCATCGGCACCTTGGCGTGTTTGTAAAGGTCCACGCAGGTTTCGGTGGTGATGTTCTTGGAGCAGATGATCTCACAGTGTCTCTGAAGGGCCTCTAGTTGGAAGAACTTGGCTGCAGACAGGAGCTGCGGGGGGGTGGCACATCGGCCCAGAATGAGGCACAGGGCGATGGACGGGAAATGCTAATGACTCCTGCCGTCACCCTGCAGGCTCCGGCTGACCGGCTCTTACCTCCATCACCTCCGTGTTCCGTATGTGCAGGGACTCGGTTCCTCCGCAGTACAGATACTGCATGACCAGCTGCAACACAAAGCAGGGCGGGGTTTCAAGTCTGTGCTGGGGGCTGAACTTACATTTTTCTATATGTATATATACATATATTTCAGGTGGTCTTTTTAAAAATGTGGTTAAATCTTACATCCTTTATATCTTGCCTTTTTAAGCATCTTTACATACATACATACATACATACATACATACATACATACATACATAC